CCAAAGGTTGAAAAATCGGTAAAAAAGAAAAAAGGAAAAGAAAGATGAAAGCAATGCATCGAACGCAGCGCAAAAAAAGCTTTTCCGAAATAGGGAAACAACGGTCTATTCTACGATGCTTTTGATTTGGAAAACATCGCGGAACAGCAGTGCAATCGCCACGAAATTACGAAACGATGGTACACCGAGGATAATGCTGTTCCGCTGTTACGATAAAGCCGGACAATTAATATTCCATAACGAGCCGCTTTTGAAAGGGCGAAAAAGCTTGGGAAGGATTGCCCGAGCGCGAATTAGCGCATGCACAATCATGTGTATACACACAGAGCCAACGTGTTTTCTGGCCAGCGCGATTGTTTGCGCACGTTTCGAAGAGATGCCAAATGTTGGAGCACGTTGAATACGTGCACACGCCAATTCGTTCCCAACGATTTGACGTTCTTCATACCGATAATTGCTAACGCATCTCTCTGCACACTGCACAAGCAAATCATTGCAAGGCTTTATTTTGTACGATAGAAAAAATATAATACAAGGTCTGGGCCTACTTTATACAATACTACCCAGTTATTCGAAAAATGTGATGTGCGTATTGTATAAATGCTTTATTCAAATAGCAATTCAAATTTAAAAGCTACTGAAATTCCATCGTCTTCCACTCTTTTTATAAACCCGATCAAGAAACCGTGAGTGGAACGGAATATTCTTCTTTCGCAACGCAAATTTACTACTAATATTTATGAAGCAGAAAGTTCTCAAAATAAAACGCGACGAGTGCTTCGTTATATCTGCAATATCAATTAATCTACCATTATAAAAAAAAAAGTCTGAATATTCCCGAAATTTGATACGCAACGCTAATAAGTATAAATCTACGCACTCGTATTTCAGCAATACGCAACACTAATTGCGAGAGATCGAAGTGCAACCATTTAAGAGGTTGCTGATGAACGATCACACTTGTACAACCCTTGCAGCTGTATCGTGTGATCCAGGAACAGTGTCCGACCAATGCAGTCGGGGGGTTTGGGCATTTTGTAAACGCAACTCTACTTAACAAAACGCGATCATTCATTATCGCAACGCTAATTCTTATAGTGAATTCAAATAAAAATTACTATTTACAATATGAAAAAGCTACTTTAAATATTCTGATATTGCTACTTGCAATACTATAAAATTAATTGAAAACTAACATTTTCATAATCTAATTTTGAACAAAAGAAAACAGAATAAATTTCAAAAATTGCGAAAGACAATCGCGATATCGTAATTCGCAACTCTAAAGCAAACGCGATTATCATTTTATCGTAACTCTAATTCAAACCGTAATCATTTTCTCGCCACACTAATGAAAAGCCGCGATATTATTTCGCAACTCTAATACAAACCGTAATTAATTTATCGCAACACTAATAAGAAAAATCGCGTGTGGGTGTTGACATATCGCAGTGCAACCATTTAGGAGGTTGCCGATGAACGATCACACTTGTACAACTCTTGCAGCTGTACGTGTGATCCAGGAACAGTGTCCGACCAATGTAGTCGGCAAGGGGGGGGGGGGATTTTGTAAACGCAACACTACTTAATAAAACGCGATCATTCATTATCGCAACGCTAATTCTTATAGTGAATT